CTGTAAATGCTGATAGCGTCGGGGCTAATGCTAAAGCTAACAGGCTAAGCTGAAGTTCTTCTTCCATGAAGCAGCTCTCCTCTCTGTCAACGCTCTCTGGTTTCATTTAAAAGAGTCGATCATCAGATATTGTCCAAGATTAACCTTCAGGGTGGATATAGCTCGCTAGCAGCCTCACACCAATGACCTATCTACGTCATCATTTACCCAGAATGCTTTGCATGTAGATAAAATGGCCCCGTCCGTGTAATATATTTTTAAACTTTTAGTTTAAAAATTATTAAAAACTAAACAGCCTACAGTATTTTTACAGTCTTTATTTTACAGTTAAAATATATGTTTATCAAATAAAGTCTAATGCAGGGGTGCCCAAACCTTTTCCCTGAGAGGGCCAAAATTAAAATCAATCTGAGGGCTGTGGGCCAAATGCAATGACATAAGAAATACAAATACTTCTTAAGTAAAGTTGTTTTATTTTTATGATTAAGCTAGCAGCCAGTGTGGTTGCCCACATTTTCTTTTCTTTCAGCCCATGGACATGGAGAAAATTCAACTTCTGCTCAGGCAGCAAAGGCTCATGGGACTTTCCATGATTTAAAATTTGATAATATGGGATCTTATAATAGTATAAATAATGTAATAATGAAGTTTTTTAGTTATTATTATTATGATCAAGTACCCCCACCCCCCGAGCTGTTGGCTTTGAGTAGTGCCCTCCTGAGCAATGACTCATTCAGTACAGATATTGAGCTTAGAATAAAAAAATGTTAAGCCAGGTATGATTAGTCATATCAAATGTATGAATTTTAATTCACTGGGGAGGTGAAACCCATGTTCAGTTCTCTCCACAAATTACACATCTAATTATATTGTTTAGTTTCATGGATTTAATGTGACACATAACCAACAGCAAATTTWAAAAAAAAACAGCCTCAAAATGATGAATGTAGTCATCTAAAATCCGAGCATTTATTTGTTATGAAGCGTAAACAAGCAGCTCAACGGAAAAAATTTAAAATACAAAGGAATTCAATGAAGTYGTTCTTACATTTCTCTAAACTGAATTAAGAGATCTCGTGAACTCCGTTGGGTCTGGTCACATTTCTTTCATTC